TGAAAAAATATTCTTTAAAAAATCCACGCCTTGGATAGAAGGACCCTTGAAAAAATATTCTTTAAAAAATCCACGCCTTGGATAGAAGGACCCTTGAAAAAGTATTCTTTAAAAAATCCACGCCTTGGATAGAAGGACCCTTGAAAAAATATTCTTTAAAAAATCCACGCCTTGGATAGAAGGACCCTTGAAAAAATATTCTTTAAAAAATCCACGCCTTGGATAGAAGGACCCTTGAAAAAATATTCTTTAAAAAATCCACGCCTTGGATAGAAGGACCCTTGAAAAAATATTCTTTAAAAAATCCACGCCTTGGATAGAAGGACCCTTGAAAAAATATTCTTTAAAAAATCCACGCCTTGGATAGAAGGACCCTTGAAAAAATATTCTTTAAAAAATCCACGCCTTGGATAGAAGGACCCTTGAAAAAATATTCTTTAAAAAATCCACGCCTTGGATAGAAGGACCCTTGAAAAATATTCTTTAAAAAATCCACGCCTTGGATAGAAGGACCCTTGAAAAAATATTCTTTAAAAAATCCACGCCTTGGATAGAAGGACCCTTGAAAAAATATTCTTTAAAAAATCCACGCCTTGGATAGAAGGACCCTTGAAAAAATATTCTTTAAAAAATCCACGCCTTGGAATGGAAGACCCTTGAAAAAAATATTCTTTAAAAAATCCACGCCTTGGAATGGAGGACCCTTGAAAAAATACTCTTTAAAAAATCCACGCCTTGGAATGGAGGACCCTTAAAAAAAATATTATTTAAAAAATATTCTTTAAAAAATCCACGCCTTGGAATGGAGGACCCTTGAAAAAATATTCTTTAAAAAATCCACGCCTTGGAATGAAGGACCCTTGAAAAAATATTCTTTAAAAAGTCCACGCCTTGGTATGGAGGACCCTTGAAAAAATATTCTTTAAAAAATCCACGCCTATTTAGGAACCTTGAAAAAATATATAAAAAAATTTGTTTTTGTTTCTGTTTTATTACTTTTCTGTTTGTTTATTTTTTTGCTAAAGATATATTTGTGTATTTAATAATAATAATACGTAATTTAATTAACAACAATAAAACCTAATATAGATAATTTATGTATATTATATATGCTTATGGATTTATATACTTTTTTATTATTATTATTTTTTATTATTATTTTCTTATGTTTCAATGACGGTGTATTTGATTTCCATTCACGACATTTCATTGCAGATGACGAAGCATTTGCATCCTTCAAGCATTGGTTATTGGGATTCATTTATGTTTCATTATTGGACGAAAACGAAAGTGACAAGGATTACAATAAAATTATAAAAAAAGAATAGTAGTGAATAAAAATATAATATATAGAAGAAGAAATTACATATATGTATGTATATACAATAAAGTGGGTGAGGGCTTGATTTTTTATATTGAACGCAGACAAAAAACAACAACAATAACCGTGTCTATGTTTTGAAGTTTATGCGGACAGTAATGTTGTCGACAATCCTGGTGTTGGATAGGAATTCTCAAATATTAGGCCGCAAATTTTAAAGGTACTGATGTATAGGGTAGGGTTTATGCATACCATCCTGTATCCTTACAATTGTATGTCAATGTTCCCTCGAAGCAACATACTCATGCCTTTCTGTCACCTATGATAAATTTAATTTCATTCGGGTAGGTTTTGAATCGTCTGTGTAGCATGGGACAAATTTAAGGAAAACGATTTATAACAAAATTGATACACGCTTTTCGGTACGCCGCACTGTTAAAAATGTAATGTCAATAAGACATCCGTTCGAAATACATATGGAAGCTATGGCTGGATGTGCACCAATTTCAACAAAACCCAATAACGTCATTCAAGTCTCAATTTTGATACAATTCGAAAATATATATGGGAGCTATATCTAAATCTGAACCGATTTTCAAGAAATTTTACACACATCATTCTGGACTCAATTCAGTATGCTGTACCAAATTTCGTGGAAATCGAAGGTTATATAGGGACTTTGGTGCACCATTTACATTAAATCGGACGAAAATATATATGGGAGCTATATCTAAATCTGAACCAATTTTCACGAAATTTAACACACATCGTTCTAGGCTTAATTCAGTACGCTGTACTAAATTTCGTGCAAATCGAAGGTTATATAGGGACTTTGGTGCACCATTTAAATAAAATCGGACGAAAATATATATGGGAGCTATATCTAAATCTGAACCGATTTTCACGAAATTTAACACACATCGTTCTAGGCTTAATTCAGTACGCTGTGCTAAATTTCCTGCAAATCGAAAGCTAATTAGGGACTTTGGTGCTCAATTAACCTTAAATCGGACGAAAATATATATGGGAACTATATCTATATCTGAACCGATTTTCCTTTGGGCCAAATACCTATGCCAAATTTCATCCCAATTCGAATAATAAATGTGACCCGTACTTAGTTTACAATTTAACATGGATAGACGGGCGGACATGCATAAATCGACTTAGAAAGTGATTCTATGCATATTCTCGAAAGGAACCATATGTCTATCTCATATCCTTTTGCCTGTTACAAAGATATGCACAAAGACCCTGTACCACAGTGTGGTGAAGGGTATAAAAGCACTTCAGAATTTTTCAAAAAATCGATAAAAATTTGTGTTTTATGAATAAAAAAAAATAATTTTTTTAACAAGACCACTTTTGAGGAATTTTTCATATAAAATGATTTTTTTTTATAAATTCGTTGGAATTTTTTTACAATTTTTATACCCCACACAACTATATTGTTTTTGGAAAAGATCGGTTAATATTTAGGGGATGAAATGAACCAAAAACTTTATTTTTGTCGGTTTTTCTGGTCGCTCCAGAGGCCGCAATTATGGCCCAAACACCGCGACTTTTTGCATGGAGAAGCGGATCGGGCCAGAGATTAAGCATGCCTTTTTTGATAAAGATCGGTCAAATGAACCCTAACTTTTGTGTGAAAAATGACAACATTTGTATTCTATAGCGTATATATTTACCACTGAAGGACGTAGACCCGAGAAGTTGATAGTATATCCAAGAGGAGTGGTTGATCTTTTAATTGATACCAATTATATTGTCGTAGGTACTCGGATGCGGGAGTTACACTTAAATATTTACAAGTGCTTACGTATTCAGATATTATTTAATAACCTATTACCACACTGGAGGTCGGAAATATAGCGCGGATCGCTTTGAAATGTTCCATGAGGTTCCAGTTATGGTCAAGGACAACGCCTAAAATGTTAGGTGATGATCAGATAATAATTTTTCGGATGAAGTGGACCGAAAACTTAATTATTTGTACTTTTCGAGTCGAAAGTCGAACATCACAACACAACCCACAGTGAAGGGAATCTGGACAAGTAAGTAGAGGGGCTGTACTGATTATTAGTAACATTTGCTGACCACTAGCCAGTCAAAAGTGTGCAAATATCGCGAAATATTGTCCAATCTCAGAATATAGAACCTCAGAAAGTTAGCTCACTGGTTTTAAATTGCACACGAATTTCCAAATTTTTTAATATTTGCTCCGATAATTTACATTAATTTTATGTTTACTCTATGAAAATTAAAAAAAAATATTTTATAAAAAAATTACACTTTAGAATTTTAAAAACAAAATATTTTTTAAGAAGACCTCGTCGGAAATTTTTTCAAATAAAAATGATTTTTTTTTTTTTAAAAATTCTCTACTTTGGCTGTTTTTATGAATTTGTTTAAATTCCATATTATTAAATATTTGCTCAGATAATTTAAAATAATATATCTTTCTTAGAACTTTTTAAATGTTGTTTAAAAATATCTGCCATACGAGAAGCTTCCCCAAAAATATGATTTTTATATAAAATCATAGCTTCAGGAACCTTAAAGGATATAGGGATAAACGTTGCCACTGTAAGGATATACCAAAGTAATAATTAAACCCAATTCTAATTTATTTGAAAATCATATTGGATATCAAGTATCTTTACAAGTAACACACATAAACTTCAAACATTTATAGATTGGTTTTTGTTGTTGTAGTTTTTTTTTTTCTTTCTTTTTTCTCAAAAGCCATACTATATAATATACAATAGAATTACAAATTATTTATAGATAATACATATGTATATATATAATAAAACAATATATTAATTTTTTTTGTTGCATATAATAATATTTATATTAATTAATAATAACAAGCTATAAAGCTATAAAAAATACGTATTTTTTTATTTTTTTCTGTATACATATATATGTTTAGAGAATAGAATAACGAAAAGAAGAAGAAGAAAAAAATGTCTTTAGGATTCAGTGAATAAATACACTTGGCTAATAACTATAGATTTGTATGTATATATAGACCTTATAAATGAGGATCAATTTGTGGATGGAAATAAGAAGTTTTGTGGGCCGGGAAAATATCAATAAAAGAAAGCTTGAACAAAATAGGTCATACAAAATTTTTTTGTAGATTATATGGAATATTCCAAAAACCTGTTAAGTTATGGCCCTCTTGGTGTGTGTGTTTTCTTTTTTATATTTTAAATTATATGCAAATAAGTTTGGTTTCTGTTTTTGTTTTTTTTTTTTCTTTTTTTCTTGTGGGATATTTTTTTTACATTTCTTAACTTAATTAAGCAATCTAAAGCCAATAATACAATTTTTTATAATTTTGTTTTGCTTTTTATAGGAATTTAATATAACAACGAAAATGAAACTAAGACAGAAACCATTTTTCGTAGCTTGTGTGTAAGTTTGTTTGCTTTTCTTCTACTAATAATGAAAAGAATTTCTACAATTAAATTAAGTTACATGATTGTTGTTATTGTTTTTTTTTTCTTTTCGCAATGAAAACTCAATACTAAACAAATTAAATTTAAATTATTGTAATTCTTTACACAGAAAACAGGCATAATCATCAGCATTATCATCATTGGCGGTAATGGTTACTCCAGCTGCTGTTGTTGTTTTGCTTGTAGTTTACATATCATCAGTGTCGTCATCAAACTATTCCTGACAAAAACCTTCAGTCTCTTCAATGGCAAACGTTAGTTTCTCGACCAATTGATCGTAGCTCTTATATGGTGGCAAATCCAAACGATTGAAACATGTATGCGAACGTGGCAGCCACGTTTCCTTGCCCACCTTTTCAATGCAAAACCGTTGTGGACCGTTCGAGCCCATTAGCTCGGCAAAACCACCAACTGGCACACGACATGTACCCGTTACAAATTGCAGGAGACGGGCACGTTTTTCATTATCCGTATCGCGTACAAACTGTAAAAAGAAAATGCGGAAAATTAAAATAGTGTTTCCGAAAAGTAAATTGATATCTGAGTACGTACCTGCCAGAACCACACAACTTGTTTGGAATTACGATTGTAATGCCTGTAGATGGTATTGCGCTGCCAATCATCGACATCAACATCCTGCATGCCACACAATATCAGCTCCAATTCACGTTCATCGAAATATTTTAGCCATTCTAGTGGCACAACCTCGTTGAAACCTTCCAAAAAGGTTTTGGTTTGTTGTTCAATGCCACTAAAAATAGAAATGAAAAACAAATTTAAATAATTATTTAATAAAATTAAATTTTTTGAAATTTAATGGATTTTTAAAAAAATATTTTTAGTTTTTATATTTTTTTAATATTTTTCAAGGCGTGGATTTTTTAAGGAATATTTTTCAGAGGCCTAAATAAGGCCTGGATTTTGTTTTTAGAGGCCTTATCAAGGCGTGGATTTTTTTAAGGAATATTTTTTCAGAGGCCTTATCAAGGCGTGGATTTTTTAAAGAATATTTTTTCAGAGGCCTTATCAAGGCGTGGATTTTTTAAAGAATATTTTTTCAGAGGCCTTATCAAGGCGTGAATTTTTTTAAGGAATATTTTTTCAGTGCCCTTATCAAGGCGTGGATTTTTTTAAGGATATTTTTTCAGAGGCCTCATCAAGGCGTGGATTTTTTAAAGAATATTTTTTCAGAGGCCTTATCAAGGCGTGGATTTTTTTAAGGAATAATTTTTCAGAGGCCTTATCAAGGCGTGGATTTTTTCAGAGGCCTTATCAAGGCGTGGATTTTTTAAGGAATATTTTTTCAGAGGCCTTTTTCGTGGATTTTTTAAAGAATATTTTTTCAAAGGCCTTATCAAGGCGTGGATTTTTTAAAGAATATTTTTTCAAAGGCCTTATCAAGGCGTGGATTTTTTAAAGAATATTTTTTCAAAGGCCTTATCAAGGCGTGGATTTTTTAAAGAATATTTTTTCAAAGGCCTTATCAAGGCGTGGATTTTTTAAAGAATATTTTTTCAAAGGCTTTATCAAGGCGTGGATTTTTTAAAGAATATTTTTTCAAAGGCCTTATCAAGGCGTGGATTTTTTAAAGAATATTTTTTCAAAGGCCTTATCAAGGCGTGGATTTTTTAAAGAATATTTTTTCAAAGGCCTTATCAAGGCGTGGATTTTTTAAAGAATATTTTTTCAAAGGCCTTATCAAGGCGTGGATTTTTTAAAGAATATTTTTTCAAAGGCCTTATCAAGGCGTGGATTTTTTAAAGAATATTTTTTCAAATGCCTTATCAAGGCGTGGATTTTTTAAAGAATATTTTTGCAAAGGCCTTATCAAGGCGTGGATTTTTTAAAGAATATTTTTTCAAAGGCCTTATCAAGGCGTGGATTTTTTAAAGAATATTTTTTCAAAGGCCTTATCAAGGCGTGGATTTTTTAAAGAATATTTTTTCAAAGGCCTTATCAAGGGGTGGATTTTTTCAAAGGCCTTATCAAGGCGTGGATTTTTTAAAGAATATTTTTTTAGAGGCCTTATCAAGGCTCAATTTTTTTAAGGAAAATTTTTCAGAGGCCTTATCAAGGCTCGATTTTTTAAAGAATATTTTTTTCAAGGCTCCTAATTTTTTTTAATTCACGCATTTAAAGAACTTTTGAAAAAAATCCACGTCTTTCATTAACTTAAAAAATCAACCTTAAAAACTTCAATATTATTAAACCCACAACTCGAATAGATTCAAATATTTTTTTGAAAAATTTGAAAAATATCCCACATTTCCCAAAACTTACCGCGTCATTCTCCACTCGGTCATCAGTGTTATGTACTCCTCCTTATTCTCCTCGGTCACCCGTTCCTTTTCACCATTCTCCTTCAGCTCATGATGTATTATCTGACCCAACACCTCAAAATCAACACTGAACCACAACTCCAGTCCACATTCATCGATATTATTATCCTTGACCCATATCAATGAATTATAAAATTCCGGATCAATCGTCTCAATATCTTTGATGGTCAATTTCTTATTCAGCATCCGCTTGTAGAATGGCATCGTAAAGCCGGAATAAATAAAACGGCCATGATACAGTGCCATGGCAATAAAACGACCAATAAATTTAAAATATTGCAAATGGTCGGGATTAACATAGGAGGCGGGATTTATCTGTAGACTATAGTTGTTTTTGTTGGCATACTCAAAAAGGCAATACATAGGATTGAGAACTTCATGCGACAGCAGGAAAAACCATTCACGCGAAACGCCACCATAATCGAGACCCTCTTCGCCGCGGAATATGATATAGAGGCGGCGACGCAGCTCATATGCCGGCAGACGCATTATCTGATGGTAGGAATCCTCGAAGAGGGTTTGACGAGTCACAGTTATTTTGATATGCGAGGGCAGAGCATTGCTCTGGCACAAATAACGAAACTGGGACAGCTTCCAACGGAAACTACGTTCGTAGGCTCGCGGCACACCATAAACACCTTTGGCCCCCTTCGGTGCACCGGGTCGAGGATCGTCGAATGTGGTTCGCCGGGTATTGTGATCGACAAAGAATCGTTCACCGGTGGCGGTGTAGCGAATTTCCCAACCTGGCGGCAGGGGACCCTCATTGATGAGACTGACCTCTTGGCCCTGGGTGCGGGGATCCTCCCATTGTGTCGTGCGATTCTTGTGATTAACAAAGTAGACACGATTGTCCGATTGTACTTTCTTCTCCCAGCCGTCGGGCAAGGCACCTAGTGTATCCTCATCGTCTTGCGCCGTTGCTGCCGTGACCGCCGTCGGTTGCTGTTGTTGTTGACCGTAGAGGAACCTTTGATTACCTTGTGCTACGACATGAGCCCGTTGTCCCTGCCAGTGTTGGAAATGCATGAGGCGTTCACTGTTGGGCCTCTGCCAGGTGGTGGTTCGTGTATTATGATCCACATAATAGACACGGCCGCGTGGATCTTTGCGTATTTCCCAACCCGGCGGAAGTGGGGTGGGCTTCTCCCAATAGGTTGACCGGGTATTGTGATCCACATAGTAACGTCGACCGTATTGATCGAAGCGTATCTCCCAGCCGGCGGGTAAAGGTTCATCATCGGCTTGAGCCGCCTGCAGTTGTTGATCTGTGGCATTGGATACTGGCAAGCCACTGCCGGTTACGGCCATGGCTGATTGAGGATCGCTGGGCATCATGCCACCCACAGCACCTTCCATCATGCCGGGTTGCTGACCCGCCACCACCGCTCCACCATTGGCATACATTTGAGACATGGGTCGCGCACCGCCGGCAGCATTGTTGCCGACAAGCGGAGAATTTCCCGATGGACCATTAATACGTGGATTGTGTGACATGTGCATTTGTTGCTGCTGCTGGGCCACCATTGCCGCGGCCGTTTGGGGGTCCCAAGTACCGGGTGGATTGGGGGCTCGGCGCATTGCGCCACCACCGCCACCTTGAGAGGGTACCATGGCACCTGAACTACTGCTACGTTCCAAATTGCCATTTTGCATTGCCACGGGGGAGCGAGAGGCACAAACACCAGGTGCACCACTTTCACTGACACTACCACTGGAACGCATGCGGACACGTGTTCGTACACCGCCATATATTAAACAACTTCGACCAGGTCCCGCCGCCGCCGCTGCTGCAGCAGATGATGAAGAGGGGCCGCCGGCGTCAGCGACACCAACAGCTGCTGCACCATTTGCACCCATCATCATTGTCCCATTGCCATTTTGCAGCATAATATTGCTCATATCGAGTTTGAGGCCATTCAGTATGGCCACCAATTCACCGCTTTTGGTTTGACGATTATCCGATTTCGAGGTGACCAACAGGTCCATACTGACTTCGAGAAATTCACAACGCCCGTTGTAGTGTTGTAAGATGTGGGCCAGGCTAATGCTGCGCTCGCCAAGCATTGCATCTTTGCGAAAACTTGAATGATCCAGCACCTTAAAGTGTAGCACCGAATGGGGTGTTATCTGCGTTGGGGGAGAGAGAAAGAGAGAGAGAGAGTAAGACGATTAAAATTTGTTTAATAGTTTTCGTAGGGAAATATTTATATCAAATAAGGAAATGTGTATTTAAAATAAACGTCTCAGATTGGCCTTTGGACCATTAAAGAAATATAAACAAAAATTCACACCTTGACTAAATATTTAAAAAAAATCCACGACTATTAGAAACGTTTACAAAATCCACGAATTGAAAAAGTATTTAAAAAAGATGCACTGCTTGAAAAAATTAAAAAAAAAATCATTTTGAAATAATTTTTAAAAATTTTACAAAAAACAATCACGTCTATGCTCGTTTGAAAAAACATTTAAAAAATCCTCCAGGCCATGGATCCTTAAAAATATCCTAATAAAATTCACGTGAAAAATATTTTAAACCAGTAAGGAATGTATTAAAGTCGTACTGGGCAGACTAAATGATATATATTGAGCCATATCTAAATCTGAATCTAAATCAGTACGCTATGCCAATTTTCGTGCAAATCGAAGGATGTATAGGGGCTTTGGTGCACTATTTACCTCAAATCGAACGTAACTATATATGGGAGATATATCTAAATCTGAACCGATTTTCACGAAACTTAACACACATCATTCTAGGTCTTATTCATTACGATGTGCCAAATTTCGTGCAAATCCAGGAATATGTAGGAACTTTGGTGCACCAATTAGATAAAATCGGACGAAAAAATATATGGGGAGCTATATATAAATCTGAACCGATTTTCAGGAAACTTAAAACAATTAATTATACACCTAATTCATTACGCTGTGCCAAGGGACTTTAGTGCACTATTAACATTAAATCGGGCGAAAATATATATGGGAGTTATATCTAAATCTGAACCGATTTTCACGAAACTTTACACACATCATTGTAGACTTAATTTAGTAAGCTATGTTATCATAAGAAAATCTAGGAAATGACCTTAATTTCTAAAAACAACAAAAAGTGAAAATTGTTATCTGATACACAATTTTAACTAAATACAAGATAACAAAATGTGTGTATTGAGAACTGACGTACAAAAATTCATTGTTAAAAAAAACCATCATCGTCGTCACAGTGCAGCAGATACACAGGGCTACAGAAACAGAAATTTAAATAAAAAATGAACAATAAGATCAAGACAAGGTAGAATTCCAAATCGATGATTACAGAATAAAATATTTTTGTCGAAACAAGAAATTTGAAATTTGTTACGCAGTGTAATCATCATCAATAACTGATTTCTTAACATTTTACCAAACAGAGACAATGCGACAACACAAAAGCCACAAATTTACGCACCCTTGCAAACAAAAAAAAAAACGAAAATCATTTGGCAGCCAAACCCATTAAACAAACAGAAGCTAGCACCGAACGGCGGCCGCTTAACATACAAATCACACCATTAAAGAAACGAAAATTGCAATTTGACTTACACACGCTCTAATTGATGTGTTAACACAGAAACACACAAAAGAAAAAAAACGAAACCAATTTGTAAATAAAGCTAAACGGAATATTTACCTACAATCGCACATCAACATCATTATGGCAGAGGTAGAGAAGAGTAGAGCGTATTTTTTCAAGCCAAACACCAAGAATATACAAATCAGCATACATTAATTTATAATTGACACCAAGGTAAATAAAATCGACGACGACAACAAAAATAACAAAATTCGATGACAAGAGGACAATTAATTTGTTAAAATTATTTTCCAACAATTTTCAATGTAGTTTTGGGGAAAGTAAAAACTATATTCAAGGCCTGGATTCCTAAAAATATATTTGTAGAATTATCAAGGCGTGGATTTTTTTAAAAAATATTTTTTGAATGCGTGGATATAAAAAAAATTTTGAAAGCGTGAATTAAAAAAAAAAATTTTGAAGGCGTGGATTTTTTAAAACAAATTTTTTGAAGGCGTAGATTTTTAAAAATTTTTTTGAAGGCATGGATTTTTTAAAAAATATTTTTTAAGGCATGGATTTTAAAAAAAAAAAGTATTTTTTGAAGGAATGGCTTTTTTAAAAAAATATTTTTTGAAGGAGTGGCTTTATTAAAAAAATATTTTTTGAGGCATGGATATTTTAAAAAATATTTTTTGAGGCATGGATATTTTAAAAAATATTTTTTAAGGCATGGATATTTTAAAAAATATTTTTTGAAGCCCGGGATTATTTAAAAAACATTTTTTGAAGGCGTGGTTTTTTTTAATATTTTTTTAAGCCTGGATTTAAAAAAAATTGAAGGCGCGGATTTTTTAAAAAAATATATTTTGAAGGCGCAGATTTTATAAAAAATATACCAAGCAACGTCTCTGATTGGCTTTAACATTGCGAAGTCCAGGCTTATCTTGGTCCCTCTTTCATCTCAATTGTCCACGCTGACCTCCCCGTGGTGCCAACTGGTGTGGGTACCTATTTCTATCACCCGGTGAAGTAGTGAGCTAATATGTGCCGCGAGTTCATCCATAAGAACTATAAAAAATGGGTTGAGGCGTCAGGTTAGTTGCCCACACTCGGAAAACCGAACCTACTATGAAAAAGCAAAGAAAAACCAAACCCACCTAATGTTGACGACCCCCGTGAACGTATAAAGGACCTCGATCTGCGAATCTGCACTTGGAATGTGCGCACCTTGTACAGAACAGGCGCAGTTCTCGCTTTGGCAGATGTACTCAAGAAGTACAAAGCCGATATTATTGCCTTACAGGAAATGCGATGGAAATGGACTGGCGTAAGTGAATCAGATGATTACGCCCTGTATTATAGCTGCCATGAAACGAGACGTGAATTTGGCTGCGGATTTATGGTTAACAGGAGAATAAAATACCTCGTCTCCAGATTCACTCCAGTAGATGAGCGAATTGCTATAATCCGCATAAAAGCGAAGTTCTTCTACATAAGTCTTATTTGCGCCCATGCATCTCGATATACACGAGGCCACTTGAATTTCTCCCGATCGAACAACGAAAAATCAAATCGATCATGTTGTGATAGACGGAAGACATTCGTCCAGTGTTTTAGACGTTCGATCGATCCGAGGAGCGAATATCGATTCGGACCATTACCTTTTAGCGGCCAAGGTTCGCAAACGTCTTAATATAGAAGCAAAGGTGCGATCTAACACAACACGGAAACTAGACGTCGATAAGCTGCAAACACAACAGGTAGCTTCGCTCAACTTACCCACCTGCTTGACGAAAGCACTTCTTGTCCCGATAATAGTATAGAAGCACAATGGCAGAAAATTGTCCACTCCCTACAAACTGCAGCAAAAGCAACACTTGGGTACCAAATACCACCATCAAGAAATCCATGGTACCACCATCAGGAGTGTCGTAATGCTACTGATGTGAAAAACGCAGCGCATAGGGCAACCCTGCAGGCAGTAGCAACACTTAATGTGATGGAGAATTGTCGGGAGAAGAGGAGAAACGTATTTTCAGAAAAATACAAGAAAAACGTGAGCGTGAACAATTCGAGATGTACATGAGTCAGAATGAAGTCCGGAAATTTTACCAACGAGTAAAACACCAAACCGAAGGCTTTGGTGCTGGCACATCCTCCTGTAGAGATGAAGAAGGAAACCTGGTGACAGATACAGACAGCGTGTTGAGGATCAAATGCCATTATATCGATGACACCGAGATAATGGGTCGAACATTGAGAGTGGTAACAGCCATCTTTGAACAAATTGAGAAGGAGTCTGCCAAAGTGGGTCTAGCAGTAAACGGCGAGAAGACCAAGCTGATGGTATAAACGCGCAAGACGTCCAGTAGACTCAGACCAACTGTGGAACTTGAAAACTACAGCTCCGAGGTAGTCAAAGATTTTATATACCTTGGTATCGCCATAAATAAAACGAACGACATCAGGTTAGTGATGGCCAACCGATGCTAATATGGTCTGAGCAAACAACTCAAAAGCAAGGCCACCTCCCACCAGACCAAATTCACACTCTACAAGACGCTGATACTATCCGTGCTGTTATACGGATCTGAAGCATGGGTACTTAAGCAAGCAGATGAGGCAGTTCTTGAATTGTTTGAGAGAAAATTTCTCCGAAAGATCTATGGGACGATCTGCGTTGACGGTGAATATCGCCGTCGAATGAACCATGAGCTGTACCAGCTTTTCTCTGGCCCAAGAACGAACCCTACTGAAATTGGGAAAAGTCGGTTTAGATTTAGATATAGCTCCCATATATATTTTCGTCCGAATTAAAGTAAATGGTGCACCAAAGTCCCTATACATCTTTCGATTTGCACGAAATTTGGCACACACACATCTAAAATGATGTATGTTAAGCTTCCTGAAATCAGTTCAGATTTGGATATTTCTTCTATGTCTGACCAAATGAAAAATTTAGTATTTAGTATTTATGGATCCAATTTCATTTTACTAGTCCTTTAAAAATGCGACGTCTGTTAGGATTCATCCGTTGAATATACCCAATGTGGTGAAGGTTATCATATAGTCGGCCCTGTCCGACTATACTGCTTTCCCTACTGTTTTTTTTTTAATTCTTTAGCCTGTTTATACATATATCTAGGTTAATATATGTGCATATCTACACATTACATATCTACTCACCAGCACTGTAAATTCTTCATTCCATTTGGGTAAATATGTATTTTTAACAAAGTCCGTTTTACGTTTACTTTTATTATCGATTAATAATTCCACATATGGATTTGGTTTTAGAAAGCCACTATTTCGCAGTGACGCTTCTTCGACTAGAAAAAAAAAAAAACAGAATAATAACAATATAAAAATAATTGAAAACACATGTTGAAATTCACAAAAAAACCTACTTGTAACACTCAATTGATGATAGCCTTGATTTGTTGAGGTTCCTGCAGCCACGGCCGAACCATTACTCAGCGATGACGATGATGAAGGTCCCGAATTATTGTAATCGCCCACTAGGGATGAACCAGCAGCTTGGGCAGCAACAATACCGCCGGATGCAGCTGCCATTGCATTACCGGAGGCCATGCTCAATAGGATTTTGGCAAAATTTTAAGGGTGTGTGTGTGGGGTTTGGACGTTAGTCCAATGTGTATTTTTTCCTTGCTCTCTACCTCCTTTTGCAATTTAGAAATATTCTGTAAGAAAAAAGGAAATTTTGAAAATTATTTATTTAATTTAATTAACTGTAATTGTAATTGTTTATTACATAAATTAATTTTCTTCTTATGAAATAACAATGAAATTTTGCAAAAGAAAAAAAGTAATATGGTATTAATAACGGCCTAAAGAATGTGAAAAACACCTCGAACAAAAAATTATTCACAACAATCCAGATTAAATGGTACGGTCGATTGATAAGAATATTTGAAAAAGAAACGAGAGTCGACCATCCATATCATTTATGTGCGTACACTTACTCACACCAGTGTCAAATCGTTGTCGTGGTCGTCTTCGATAGTAGAAAGTTACCAAGATAAGATTTCGTAAGACATTTAAGACGACCGACTTCACCTACGACGATGATGATGGACTTTCCTAGTAAAAAAAACGGCATTATTTGTTTACTGTTTTTTAAAAAGGAATAAATGTGTGATGACGTCCATCCAATGTGAATTAAAATCTTATGCTATATTCTGATTTTTTTTTCAAAATTTATCATTTGCTGAAAATTGAGATAAAACCAGTAAGAAATGTAGTAAAGTCAGACGGACCATTCACCACTTTGGGTATATTGTACATATGTATCGAACATTAAGAGTTTGGTACACCATTAATGTAAAATCGGACGAATATATATGTATATGCGGGAGCTATATTGAAATCTGAAACGATTTTCACGAAACTTAGCACACATCATTCTAGACTTAATTCAGTACACTATACCAAATTTCGTGCAAATCGAAATATATATATGGACTATATATAAATCTGAAGCGATTTTCACGAAACTTAGCACACATCATTCTAGACATAATTCCGTACCCTATACCAAATTATGTCAAATCGTAAGATATATAGGGACTTTGGTGCTCCATTTACTTAAAATCGGACGAAAGATTTGCAGGGACTTTAGTGTACAATTTACATAAAATCGGAAGAACATATATATGGGAGCTACATCAACAAAACTTCACATACATCAATCTGGACCTAATTCAGTATCCTATACCAAAATTCGTGCAATGCAATATATGGGTGCTATATCTAAATCTGAACCGATTTTCACGAAACTTTGCAGACATTATTCTAGGCCTTATTCAGTACACTATGACGCTGGTGCGCCATTTTCACTAATTTCAATAGGGTTCGTCCTTGGGCCAAAAAAATGAGCTGTGCCAAATTTCATCTCGAAATACCGAATATTTGCGATACCCGAAAAATTAGACCAAAATTTATAATTTATGGCGGGAAGATTTGTTATCCAATAAGAACCCAATGTGCCAAATTACATTTTGAGGTTACCTGTATCGGTGGGGATACCTGTATAATGGTTAAAGGCGATCTTCGTATCGTTTTTCATTTCATTTTCTAGCCTCTTCAGCCAGACTGATTCAGGTGGTCATTCGCAATCTTGAAAGTATAGCTTCTTTAACTTGAACATGGAATTGCCGTCTGGACCAAGGACTTTGCATCTACCTCGCTGGATGTAAATCTAAGTGGCTGCAAGTCTCTTTTAAGATTATTGGATTCGCAGAACAGGAAAACAAGCGAGAAGTTGCTCTGTTCTGCGAAGATGGATGCTCAATAAATTGGTGGCAGAACTGCAATGCACATTTTTTGGCATCAGAATGTTGAAAGGAATTAGCAGGGATATTTTTATTTCTTTTGGAACCAGATAAACTCTTAATTGTGGACCATAGCTGCGGCCTGTTCTGGTTGAGTCCTTCTATATGTGTGGAAATGGCGTGCAAGGCTGATTTTGGTCGCGTTGCTGTGCCAATCTGGATGCCCCGGACTGATAATTATGTCATTTTCATTAGAGAAATTCTGACGGCAGGAATAAAGCGTTCGCCGTTTTTAAAATACTTTCTCGGAAAATCTTCTTACCCTTTCTGGCATTTGCAGGTGGCGGCATAGGACTTAAGGAGTCCTCAATGAATTTTGTGAAGCCGTGCCGCCATTTGGCTTTATTATAATTCATGAAAGTACGTTGATCGGGCTCCACGAAATCGCTGGGTTTCTCTGCCGTGACCAGGATGGAAATATGGTATGAATTTAAAGCGACCTTGTTTTGGCAGGAAGTGTATGGAAGAAGCGATAGACTGACGATGGAAATGTCCGGAGAGCTCTGTCCTGGCAGTGACTCTGCCAAGAGGATTCCTCATTGATGGAAGCGAAATTGGACTCGTCTATCTTGTTTGCAATAAGAATACCGCGAGGTTCATTAGGAAGTTGAGAATATCATATCTACCAGAGGTTGTGAGGTGTTGTGTTCCCTCCTCTAAATGCATATTTTGTGTGGAGGAATAATGTTGTGCCGGTCAATAATTTTTTAGAATTTTATCTTTTAATATTTTTGGATACACCCTACATAGGGTGGAATGTAAGCTGATTGGTCTATAATCCAATGTCGAAATCGACAAAGATTAGATTATCATGACGGTATCCAAATGTGCTAAGAAATCCCTTCTGAGCTCAAAAAAAAAATATTTAAAAAAAATTTGAAATCAAGAAAACGATGGTCTTGTGTTACATCGAAGAGATAGCAAATTTAACCGGCTATACAATACAGCTCGATAATATGATATTGTTAAAAATGTAAAAGAACAAGTGCTGACAAATGTTAATTTTCCAAATGATGAATCATTCGATGAACTGATTACCAGAAAAACACAACAAAATACGATGGGACCACTCGTGTTTCCGTTTGTTTGTTGTTTGTTTGGTTGTATGCAACATATTGTTGATAACAGCTGACAGGGAACATAGCACAACAACAAAAATTCACTGCGCTTTGGAATAAAAAATGAAACCAACATCCACAACAAATAGATATGGCCAGAAAAAAATATATTTAAAACCCAAGAAGCAGCAGTGGCAGGCAGCAGCAGCACTCACTAATGATAACAAAACTCCAAAACAAAGATAATGACCAAATGGAAAGACAGACAGACACAACAAAGTGAAGAAAATGAAAGAAATAACAATGACAATAAGAAAACAAGTTGACAAACAACCTGACCTTGGGTTGTTTTCATCACAACAATGAATTTCAACAAATAGGAATAGGAATGTTCTGCACTTAGACTAGGAGTCGGATGGCCGGAATTTATTTCAATTTTTAGATGCTTATTTTTTCCAATATGCCACCAATCTCTCTGTTGGACCGCCCCCAGGGCCCTTTGGCCAATGTGTAAAGGAATGTGGTCCGGGGTGCCTAGAGGAATGTGTTGTGTGCGTGTGTGGTGTGCAACAAACAAACGGCAAAAATATGCAATAACACGTAATAAAAGGCAATATGAAAATTGATTTCTTTTTGTGAGCTCTGGTTACACTTTCTTCAAATCATAAGATAATATGGAAAAGACAAAACAAAACATGATTAGATTCTAGTGCAAAAAAAAAACTTCATGTATAACATAACTTACCTGGTAATAACTTTGGTTACGTTGCAGTCCGGTTAGTGGTCGTGGAGCCACCAGCAAAAATCGAGATTTTGTTAACTGGAACTTGTATTTGTTTTGACCAGGAGCTAACCAAGAACAACAACAACGCGAACAGAAATACAAAGGTTTTCTTGGAAATTATTTTCCTATAGAATCATTTTCATCATCATTGCGTCAAAACTACCACAAGCACAAACATTCTTGTTCGCTCGCACGGGTTTCGTTTGGGCCTGTCAATTGCAGTCAGCAGCAGTACGTACGTAAGTACGTACACAATACAACAACAAAAAATACACGACGGACAACGGACTCCCTGTTCACAGTGTCAGACCGACCGTTCAGTTAATGCGCGACACTAATTTTAATTATAATTTTTCTTTAATTTTCTTCACCTTCTCTACCCGCACTCACACACCGTTCGCAAACAAAATCATTCATGAACAACAAAACGGAATTCTTTTCTTTTTTCCAATAAAAAAAATATTTTTTTTCTTCCTTTTCGGTTCTTGCTTTCAACACTTATTTATCGGAATTTTTCTTGCTCTCTTCAGGCACACAATATTTTGTTGTTAACATTTTATTGCATATATATATATACGTTTGTTTACTTGTATTTTATTACATTTATTGTTTAACAAAAAGAAACTTGCTGAACTTTGTTCTAATGCAATTTTGTTTTCTTCTTCTTCTCCATCAGCTAGTATATATTTTCAATAGTGTAATTACAAGTTATATTGCCGATTTATCATTTTTTCTGGTACTAGTGATGTGAAGAGCCAGATGACAACTATCGAAATAATCGATAGTGTAACGATAATAGACAACAACAATCGATGTTTTGCATGCACTGCCAGAGATGGATATGGCAAATATGTTTGTTTGGCTTTGGCTGCAGCCGTTGAAACAAGTTTCGATCGATTTTATGAAAATTTGTATGGGGTTGTGGGTCAGGGAGGGATGTGGAATGTGTAAAATATGGATTTTTATCATCGAAACCTTTCTTTCAAAGAAAAAGCTTTAAAAACACACATGATTAGTACGGATTTTATATGTTTTTCGTTTAGGGTGCTATAGATCGATAAAATGCCTGAGAAAAAACTTTAATAAATCTACTATTCTTTTTAACCTTGAAAAAATATTCTTTAATAAATCTACTATTCTTTTTAGTCTTGAAAACATTAATCTTAATATATAAAAGAACTTAGTGTTAAGTAAGTGACTGACAGATCATCGCCAAGACGAAAAGGCTGAAGCTAGAAGCTTGAAATTATGGACGTGGGTTGTTTCTTGATGTGCAGGCGTGACATAAGGCTGGGTTTTTGGAAATTCGAACTAGAAGGGTATGAAGAGTACTAACATGTACTAAATATGGTACCCTTTGTGAGAAAAGCTAGAACTCTGAAATTTTGAATGTGGGCTCACGAAAGATATAGAAAAGGGTTTTTTGGAAATTCGAACTATTAATGTACGAAAAGTACTAAATTTAGTTCTAATTATATATTGAACATATATACGGCCTGTTCCAGAACCTGCAAGAATGTACAATTTTTTTACTACGGTAACAATTTTTCCTTTATGATATCGAAAAATATCCTTTATGATAGTCAAAATTAGTATATTCTTGCAGTACGGGAACAGGCCAATAGTTAGAATCATGAAATTGTATACGGAATACAGGTTAGGAAGTGGTGTTGATGGTAATGGTTTTAGAAATTTGTACTTATGTGTATGAAAAGTACCAAGTGGTACTAAATTTGGTACTATTTGCATTTAGTTGAGCGTATAGAGATGAAATCCTAAAAATAGGAATTAGGACTACGATTGGAGTACACGATTGAGGTAGATTTAAAAAATCTTACTTATGTGTGCGAAAATGGTACTAAATTTTGTACAAGATGGATTTAGGTGAACATAAAGAGCTGGAGTCCTAGAATTGAGGTATTTTAAGAAATTCGTACTTATGGGTACGAAAAGTACTAAATGGCAAAAAATTCGTACAATTTGGATTTTAGTTAAACGATAGAGCTGAAAACTTTAAATTTGGAATTAAGATTATCGTTGACGACTGGAAATTCGTATTTATGTGTACGAATAATACTAAACGGCACTATATTTGGTACAATGTGGATTTGAGTGAATGAATATTCTTTACTAAATCCACGCCTTGTGTTGGACTTGAAAAAATATTCTTTACTAGATCCACGCCTTGTGTGGATCCTTAAAAAAAAGAACAATGAAAAATAAATTTTTTGTTATTTTTTAAATTTTATTTAGAATGTGCAAGTATATTATAGCATTATATATATATATATATGGAAATTAAAAATAGAAAATTTGGCAAGGTGTTTTTTTTAAATCAGACAATTATTATAAAGAAAGTAGTGAAAATAATTGTGTCAAAGAAAATCCAAAAAAAATAGAAATTTATTTAAAAAAATTTTCCTAATTAAAAAATTATTTTGGTCAAGAGAAAAAAATTAACTAAAAAAAAATTATATAAAAAAATGGAAAAAGTGTTTTCAATAAAATACACATGTGTTGTTTTTTTCTAATACCACGTATAAATAATTGTTAAGGAACTTATTCATACTGCGATAAATGCATTTTGTCTTTTTTGTTGTTGTTTTTTTTTTTTTTTTTTTGTTAAGGAAAAAAATTATTCAAATAGTATTACAATATTGGTTATACAAAAATTTGGTATATAATCGTTGGTATATGGAGGTCATTTTTTATATTTATATATTATATAATAATTATTATTATTTATGTATAAGTATGTGTATATACTGTATTATACTTATAATATTTATGTATGTATATCTATTGTTACTATTTTTTTGTTGATATTTAAAAAAATTATTGTTTTAAAAAAAATATTGCTTAAATTGGCTGTGATTGAGTTACATATATGTATGTGTGTATATGTATTTAAAAAAATTGTTTTATATCTCTGAGCTTTTACTGTTGTTTGCAATTCTATTAATTTTCTTTTCCTTGTTCTTCTTCACTTTTTCCTTATTTACTCAATTTCTCCTTTAGCCAATCTTCAGTCAATTCATCCAGCTCACGTATCTCATAGACTCGCGTCAAATCGATTTCACGCTGCAATGCACTCTTGGTACAGGCATACATCATTTGCAGTTCGATTTGACTATCCCGCGGTGTATAGAAAATAAAACACATCGGATATGATATCCGAGAATCATCGTGGACCATTTTATAAGTGTAGATAACATAGCGAGGCTGGTGTCCCGGCAATTGCTCCTGCAAATCTTCGACGGAAATGTCATCGATGGCATCGTCGATAACCACAAGTTGTTTCTCGCGATCAACTTTTACTGGAATGAGAGGAGCAAAATTAAAAGGAAAAATGTTATTATCTAAAAATTACAAAAAAAAATGGCATTTAAAAAATTCTCTGAATCGATTTCAACAAAACTTGACGTATATCAATCTAAACCTAATTCAGTAGTCTGTGCACAATTTTGTCTCAATTGGACCAATATTGGGAGTTTGGTGCACCATTTACATTAAATCAGACGAAACTATATATGGGAGCTATATCTAAATCTGAACCGATTTCAACAAAACTTGGCGTATATCAATCTAGACCTAATTCAGTAGTCTGTGCAAAATTTTGTCTCAATCGGACAAATATTGGGAATTTGGTGTACCATTTTCAAAAAATCGGACGAAACTATATCTGAACCGATTTTCACGAAACTTAGCATACATCATTCTAGACTTAATTGAGTGCACTATTCCAAATTTCGTGCAAATCGAATGATATATAGGGAATTTGGTGCATCATTTACATAAAATCGGACGAAAATATATATGGAACTATACCTAAATCTGAACCGATTTTCACGAACCTTAACATACATCATTCTAGACTTAATTCAGTACGCTATCCAAAATTCGTGTAATGTGCCAAATTTCATCCAAATCGAATCATAAATGCGACCTCTGATTTGTTTACAATTTGACGTAGACAGGCGGACGGACATGCATAAATCGACTCAGAAAGTGATTCTATGCATATTCGCAACAGGGACCATGTGTCTATCTCGTTTACTTTTGCCTGTTACAAACATATGAACAAAGACATAATACCCTGTACCACAGTGTGGTGAAGGGTATGAAAACGTATTTTTTATACCCTACACAACTATGTTGTCAGGGTATTATAGCTTTGTGCAGCCCCAAAAGTTCGTAACGCTGCGAAATACTGTGCCTAGACCCACCTTTAAGTATACCGATCGTCATATCTCGACTAGCTGAGTCGATCTAGACATGTGTATCCGTCCGTCCGTCTGTCCATTATAATTTGTAAACACGATACAGGCCACAGTTATGAACCAATCTTCTCGAAATTTTGCATGTAGGATGGGTTCTGGCCAATGAAGGCCCCTATTTTTTGGTAAAGATCGGCTAATATTTAGGGGATGAAATGGAACAAATACTTAATTGCCGATCCAGAGCCGAAAACTTAATTTTTATGCCTTTTCGAGTCGATCTATTGGCCACAATGGAAAGCCGAACATCACAAAACATCCCTATATATCCTTCGATTTGCACATTTTGGTATAGTTTATTGAATTGAGTCTAGAATTACATATGTTAAGTTTCCTGAATATCGGTTCAGATTTAGATTTTATGTAAATAGGGTACCAAAGACCTTCTTTGACTTTCACGAAATTTGGCATGGCGTTCTAAATTAAGTCTAGAATGATGTGTGTTAAGTTCCCCCAAATGTATCTTATTGGGTAGCAAATCTTTCCACTAAAAATTATAAATATAGCTTCAGATTTAGATATAGCTCCCATATATATATATATATATATATTTAAGATACTTTAAAAAAATAACTAATTTAATATTTATATTAATTATTATATAAATAAATTTTAAATAATTCTGGTAAGATTTTAGATTTAACCATAAAACGGATACCACATACCGCTTTGGAGCCCCGTCCTCTACTTTGTCCTTTTCTTTACTCGATTTTTTTTAAATAAAACACAATAACTTTTATTCAAATTTGACTCTAAAAGAAGATAAATCAGATGCATATATATTTTTATTAAATGAATTTTTTGTTGTTGTTGTTTGTATCGCCATTATGTTCCATTTTATGTACATATTTTTTAAAAATGTCATGAAATTAGCGATTATTTTTTGTTGTTTTTGTTTTGTATTGTATAATGCTATAATGTTGGGCGCCACATATAAGGTATTGAGAAGTCAGAGTTTTTACTCTCTCTGTCTGTCTGTCTCTCTTTGTTTTCCCTCTAAAGTAAAATGTGAAGCTTCTTGGCTTGTTTGATTTGTTTCTAGATTTTTTTTTATTGAAAACTCCTGATCTTCCCTTAATACAATATATGTGGCGCCCGATCTGTTATCGATAGATATTATTTTTTTTTAACAATAGAAAAACTCGACTTTGAAGAATTTCCACACTTAAAAAACTACGTATTTTTTAATTTTATTTTTTATGTTTTGTCTAATGTTTTTTTTTTGTTTTGTTTTGTATCTTTGTATTGCTTTTTGTTTTCTTTTCATGTTTCTTAAGTATTTAATTAATGTTTTCTTTTTTTGTTTTGTTTTTCGTTGCCTATAAGGCGGCGGCCTCTACTTTCTTTATTTTTATTATTATTTTTTTTTTTTTTGTTTAGCATTTATATGTAGATCCTTAAGGATAGGAAGTGGAAAAAATGGGTTAGGGGGACAGGCGGCAGTATATTGCTAACATGTTTGGTAATGATGATGATGATAATAAAAAAGAAGGGTTTGGAAATGAACACACGTACGTTGTTGTTGTTACTGTTAATCCTAAATAAAAAAAAACAATATATATATTTTTTTAATATTTTCTTATAGCTGAACGGATTTTGATTTATTTGATTATTGCATCAAAATTGTTGTTTTTTATTTTCGCTTTTTTGTTATCTTCCTTCTTTCTTCGTTCTACTTCGTCTTCCCTACCTATTTAATATGGTTTTCATTTTTATTATTATTATGTTGTTGTTGTTTTTCTTCTTCTTTTGTATGTTTGGTATCTCTTGTGGCGGTTGTTGTTGTTTTTCTTTATTTACTATTTTTTCTTTAATTATTTTCAATTGTTTTTTATTTATGTTTATGTGTAATTTGTTTCCAATTATTTACAATTTTTAATTATGTTTACAAGTTATGGTTTTTGTTGTTGTTTTTTATTTATTTTTCTTGTTATTATTTTATTTGTTAATTCAATTCGTCTATAATAATAAGAAAAACCTTTTTTGTTTTGTTATTGCTGTTTGTTTCTTGTTGTTGTTGCTGCTGTTGTTATTGTTAATGTATAAAGTATTAATGATATATGTATATAAAAACTGTACTCGTTTTTCCAATTATTTACAATTGTGACTTAAAAATTAAGAACTAAAATAGTTTAATTAAAAAAAATTAAGGAAAAAATACTGCAATGCCTTTTTATTTCAATATAAAATTTTTTTAAAAAACGACTTTTTTGAATTGAAAAATTTAGGGTTTTGATTTTTTTAATTTTGAAAAGAAAATAAACTCAAGCTTTAAAAAATATTTGATAAAATATATATTTTTTTAGAAAATTTTTTTTTTAATTTTTTGAAAGAAATTGTTAAAAATATTTGAAAAAAATGATTTTAAGGTTTTGATTTTTTTTAATTTTGAAAAGAAAATTAATTCAAGCTTTAAAAAAAATGTTAAGGTTTAGATTTGTTTTTCAAAGAAAATATTTTGTTTGCACAGAAAATATTTTTTTAAAGAATATATATTTTATAATTTTTGTCAAAGAAATTTTTAAAATTTTTTTTTGTTTATTTTCAATTTTTTATGTTTTTATGTACAAAAATTTAATTTTTTTAATGTATTCTTTGAAAACTAAAACTGAAAAAATATTTTAAAATTAAAAAGTTTTCAAAAAGAAATTGAAAAAATTAAAAAAACAAATAATTTTTAATGTTTTTAAAAAATATTTGTAAAAAAATTAATGAAATCTTAAACTTAGAAATGTAAAAAAACTCTTATTAAAATATATATATTTAAAAAAGTCCTATTTTTAATATTTTTTTATTTATTTTTTTTATTATTTTTTTTTAAATATTTTTTTAAAAAGTCATATCATAGAAATTGAAAATTTAGAAAAAAAGTTAAAAATTTTGAACAAAAATTTTAATTTTTTTTTTAAGTCTTTGAAAATAATTTTTCAATGAAAATATTTTTTTTAAAAAAGTTTTTCAATTAAAATATCTTTTGTCAAAAGTTTTTAAGGCTGAATTGAGGTTTTTCTATAGAAATCATAGAGAAAACCTAATTCAGCCGGGCTGAATTGAATTTTTCCGTATAGAAAACTAATTCAGCTCGGCTGAATTAAAGTTTTCCTACAGAAACCTAACTCAATGAAAATTTTTTTTTTTCAAAAAGTTTTTCAATTAAAATATCTTTTGTCAAAAGTGTTTGAGACTGAATTGAGGTTTTCCTATAGAAATCATAGAGAAAACCTAATTCAGCCGGGCTGAATTGAAGTTTTCCGTATAGAAAACCTAATTCAGCTCGGCTGAATTAAAGTTTTCCTACAGAAAACCTAATTCAATGAAAATATTTTTTTTTTCAAAAAGTTTTTCAATTAAAATATCTTTTGTCAAAAGTTTTTGAGGTTTTCCTATAGAAATCATAATTCAGCCGGGCTGAATTGAAGTTTTCCGTATAGAAAACCTAAAACCTAATTTTTGTTTTTTTTTTTTCAAAAAAAATATATATATATATATATATATATATATTAAAAGTTGTTTAAAAAATTTTTTTGAAAAAAAAATACATTTTGGATTTTTTTTTGGAAAAAAAATAATTTTTAACATTTTTTTGGAAAAAAATAATTTTTAAATTTTTTTGAATAAAATATTTTTCAAAAAAAAAAAAAAAACATTCCAAATAAAATATTAAAAAAAATTCAAAAAAAAAATTAAAAAATATTTTTTTTTTCAATTTTTTTTTTAAATTATTTTATTGTTTAAAAAATCCTGAAGTAATTTTTTTACCAAAAAAATTGTTTTTCAAAAAAAATCCCAAAATTTTTTTGTTTAAAAAATCCTGAATTAAAAATGTGATAATTGATATTAGTCTTCTACACTATAATCAATATGAAAAAAAAATGATTTCATAATAATAAATAGCATTATTATAATTAATATATATATATTAAATATATTTGTATATGAAGCATTAAAATTCAGTCAATTGTTGTTGTTATTGTTATACAAAAAAAATAGGAACATTAAAGAAAAAAATGCAATGCGTTTACAGGTTTATATAAAATGGC